TGTTAATTATTGAAACTGTTCTGCCAATTTGGTTTGAAAAAAATAAAATAAAATTTAAAAAATAATAAAAAATAATAAAAACCTTTTGAGACTACAGACCTCAATTTCCTTTAAAAGCAACCATGAACCTGCCCAGAAATAAAGACCATTTTAAATTTTCATAACAAAAAACAAAATCAAAGACTAATGAAAATAGAGGTTAATATACGAATGAAAAGGGGTTTATGTGAACAACCATGGTGGTGTGAAAAATTTTAGAGATGGAAGAATGATTATAAGGAAAGAAAGAATTAGAACTTTTATGTTACCTATCCTATTTTTATACTATATCATCAATATATTTACTGACTACAACATGAGTTAATTTTTTACATTTTATATTTAACTTTCCCAGTATGTCAATAAATAATCCCAGTATGTCACTAAAAATTCTATAACATGTCAGCAGAGTAACAAACTATTTCTCATAAAATTTTTATTTGAGCCATTTCCATGTGCAACTCATGTAATGTGCCTCAGTTCTGTTTTTCTGTCTCAGTTCTTACTATAGAGGAAAAATAAGATATACCAATAACTAACAAAATATATTAACTAATTCGAACAAACTCATTTAGGTGACAGCTTTCCTAGCTAATCTAATAGGATGAACTAAATTATAAAATGGTGTTTTCATTTAAGTATAGAGCAGATTTATCAAAGAGTAAATAATTTTTTGGATATGTCCAATATCTTTAATAAAATTAACAGCTAACATAATTGACTCAAATTTAGGTCTCAACAAAATTGTCACAGGTAGTTAAGTGAACCACTTGGCTTGTGACACTAACTGAACAAACGTAACCAAGACCCCTTGGAGCCTGCTTGGCGTTGTGGCACCTCCCTCTGCATGTTCAGGTGAGCCGGTGTGATCAAGCTGCCCTGGGTATGGAAAGCATGGCAGGGCCGAGGTCCTGGGGAAGGATACGGTCAGTGCCTTGGAATATCACACAACCTTTCACCAGCTCTCCCATGATGCAACCCACTGACCAGATATCAACTGAAAATAAAATGAAATGATAAAATTATGAAGTGCCATGAACAAAACAAAGGTGAAGAAAAAGGAAGTCTAATAGCATACTAAACACACAAATATGGAAAAAGAAATCGCCAGCTAAGGGTGAATTTTTTACATGACACCAATGATTGCTGACCTCTTAGTTTTCAGTCTACAACATACTGGGGTTTTAGTGCCAAAGATTCTAATACTTTACAGCTTAAAAACAAAAACAAAAAGGAACAAAAACCAGACGCAAGAAATACCTGTATCTACAAAGCTTTCAGGGCCACATCCCCACCCAGCCTCAGCCTCCACAGCCAGGGCTGGGTCTCTCCCTGTGAAGGATACAGTCTCTTCCTGGGAACAGGACTTTATGGAGGACCATTTCTGCCATGATGCACCCGACGGACCAGATGTCCACTACCAAACACCAGGTAATTAACAGCCAGCAGGCGAGCTCCACACCTCTTTTCTCCAATCCCCCTCCCAGGCAAAGGGAGACCCAGGACATCTCAGCAGCCCTTCAGTGGGAGCTTGGTAAAGCAGACACCACTGCAGTTCCTCAATAATCATTTACTCAGCTGTACTTCAGAGAGGCAGCAGTGCTGCGCAGGAGAGGCCCGAACCTGGAAGCTTGCTGCTGGGCTCCAAGCAAGGCCCTCCTTGAGGGCTCCATGCAGTTGACACTCCAGGGTGGGGCCCTGCTGAACTCTAAGCTTCAGCTACCACAGGCAAGCCCCCTGGTTTGAGTATGCATGGGGAAAGTTAACAGAGATCTGAGGAAGCACACAGGGCTGTGCCTCTAGGGCAGGAGCATAGTTTACAGAGAGTTAAATAATTCACAGTTAAACTTTCACTTTTTTCTCCAAAGTAAATGTGTTATAGCTCTTTTCAACTACTTTGTTAAAAGCTAAGTTTCAAAATGCTTTGATATAACTAGAATACGTGAAGTTCTGATGCTAAAAGCCACTAATTTTATATAAAAGACACTTCTATCAGTTTTAAAAAATTACCAAGGCACTCTATAGTGCTAGAAATTGAAATACAGGCTGGCCAGCCTGTTGAGATCCAGCGAGGGCCCAGAAAGAGGTCCTGGGTACACTGGTTACGTGGATGTGCTCACGGCAAGTTACACACTTAAGGTGTGCACACTGTTCCTTAAGTAAACTATACTTTGATTTAAAAAGTTCAAAAGTGAGCGATTTTAGCCAGTGGAAATATAAAATGAATGATTTATCTGCAGATCATGATAACTCAGCCAACACAGTCCCCACACTGTATTTCATACAGTGCAAAAACTAGTGATGACTGCTAGTGCTACTCTGGAACACCACAGGCTCTTGCAGTTTTGTCTACTCACCGTTCTCTTTGTAGCCCATGCCCAGAATGACTTCAGGGGCCCGGTAATACCGAGTTACCACATAGGGGGTCATCATAAAGTTGGTACATGCTGTCCGGGCCAGACCAAAGTCAAGGATCTTAAGTGTACAATCTGATTTTACTACAATGTTGCTAGGCTTCAAATCCTAGGGGAAAGGAAACATTTTTAAATGAAATAAAGGAAAGCATGCCAACAGCACAGTTTCACACTGGTAAGAATGTAAAGTTGGCAACTACTAAAGTTTGTGAGCAGGTAGGGAGAAGGACAGACAGAACTGACCCTCGGATGAGAACAATTTCAGAAAATCCTATTCTTAAGCTTCATGTGGTCCCCTTCACCCATTCTAGGACCTGGCTGGGAGCCCAGAGTCACTGACTGCAGCTCCCTGGCCATGTAGCATGTCCGGTGCACATCCTCCTCATTGCCACTGCTCACTCTGCCCTTCATACTGGTCTGGCTTCAGCTCCAACCCTCAGCAGTCTGGGGTCTCACTGCTCAACAGTGATGTAATACCAACAACATCTAATTTACATTGTCTAGGAACCATGTTAAAAAATGTTTAAAGAAAAAAATATTAAAAGAAATAGGTAAAATTAATTTTAATAATATATTTTATCTAGCCCAGTATGTCCATAGGCTTCTCATATTAAAATGTAACCAACATAAAAATTATTAATGAGCTGTTTTATACTCTTTTGTGGTGCTGAAGGTCAGTGTGTGCTTTACAATTGTGGCCACATCGTGAGTACCCAAGAGTCTGCGCACAGCTGGTAGCTACCACACTGGCCTGGGATCTTCCTGTGGTTCTCTCTCTCTCTGGAAGAGGATTCCAAGGTTGCTACGCTCACTTCTTCTCCCCTCACAAGGACTTACTCCTCCCTCACACGTCACACCAGTTGTTGGTGCCAAGCCTGGGTTTAGTACAAAAGAAATGGCTCTCTTTTTTCTGGTTCCCACTTCTCTTCCTGTCTCCAGAACTCTAGGGCTTGGAAGCTTGCCTGACACAACACATGCTGTGTGAGAAAATGGCCAACGAGTGAACAGAACACACCGCTCACCCTGTATCACACTTCCAGTGCCTTAACACAGCCTCTGCTTTTCCTTCATAATATAACATGATTTCTTCGTGCTGATCTTCCACACCTCGTTCTCTTCCCCAAGCCACAGGAATTGGACTCCTGCCTGGGAGTCCGGCCTGCAAACTCTCTAGAAACCGTGACTTCTAAACAACCCACATCTTTTCTATTCACAAGAGTATAAACATGCAGCTGCAATGTCAAATCCCATATGGTACAGTATGAAGTACTTTAAGTGTGAATGTCAGGGTCCATACAACTTGGGCAGCCAACTTTAAAAACTGCCCAATATGCAGGAGTGCCTTAAGACAGATGTGGGAGGCTATCAGGACAAACAGAACGAAACTTGAAAATTATGCTTCAATACAATTATGTTTTGATACTCTTCAATGTTTTCTAAACTTCCTGAATCCTATGACATACAAATGGTAAACATATAATATTTAAAAACATAATGACAATCTATCCAATCCCCATAGTCCACCTCAGCGAACAGTGCAAATGCATGCATCTCTCAGTTTCAGTGGAAGACTGGTCTTGGTTCTGAGACCCCCATGGACACCAGAATCCAGAGGCTCAGGTCTCTTATCTAAAATGGCAGTTATTGTGTGCATTTTAAATCTTTTCTAGATGACTTACAACGTCTAGTACAAAGCAGATTCTCTGTAAATAGTTATCACACTATATTGTCTGAGGAATAACAATACTAAAGCTCACGCATGTCGCCCACTCATGCAATTTTTGTCTTCCACACATGGCTGCATGTGCGGACACAGTACCCAATGGTATAGAGGGCTAACAGAGGTCTTTGGCCTGCAAGCTGACCTACAACTCACAGCGCAGCCACATGAACAAGGTTACAGTGGCACGGTTCTACCAAGGGCAAAGGGTAAAAGTGGAAGCCACCTTCACGTGCCAGCTTAATGAACCCAAGTGAATTAAAACACATGCCCACCACCAGACAATGCCACCTGCCAGAAAGCTGTGGGTAAAGGTTGATTTTTTTGGAAGGACACACTTAACTACCAACTTCTGGAAAGCTAGAATGACAAAACACGGTTCTGGGATGTCTGTGATATGGATGGCTGTCCTTCCCGTAGCCTTTGGTACAAGGTACAAACAGGACTGTGAGAGGTTGTCATTGCCTGCCAGTGGGGAAATGGGTGAAGAGCTCTCAGCTTTCCGAGGGCTCTCCCTACACCACAGACTCTCCAGTCAGTCCCACAACACTGCATGTGGGCCAGCACTCCAAAACCTGGCAGTAAAGGCACTCTGCTTCTCCTATCTTGAGAACCATCAGAAAGAAAGAAAGAGAAACAAATTACAAAAGACCCACGGGCCACAGCTTAGGCTTGAGCCTGGACAGGCTGTGAGGACAGTGACTAGAGGATGGCACCTTCAGGTCAGGGCAAAAACAGAGGAGCAGAGGGCTGAATGTGGGCAGCCTGATCAACCCCACAGCTTCTTTGGCCCCCAGACTCGGGCCACTGATGGAAGAGATGTCCCAAGGGAGGGGCTTGCTCATCATGGCTGGAATCCATGTCTGGATCCCCCTGTCCCCCATGCTGGGTCTCAGCCAGCAAATGAACAGGCAGAAGACTGAGGAAGCCCATTCCTAGACACACTAGAGTCTCCTGTGGCCAGCTGAGGACTCCACTCTGTATGGCCAAAGCTTTCCTAGAGCTCTATTGTGTCCCGAAGCTCTGCACCCCGTCCTTCCTTCCACCTGCCCTCCTCCAAGAAGTCAGGCCTGTACTGTCCTCCACCTCTTCTGACTTGCTCCAATTTACACATTTAACTCACCACTGATTGCGTATGCTTTCAATGGATAACACCATGCTCTATGGGGATTGAAGTGGCAGCAAGCCCCAGATTCCATATTCACCCCAGAGACAGGCACCTGTGCCTCCTCACCTTGGCTGCTCACCTTGGCTGAGCTTTCTGACACAGGGGCACAGGGACAGTCCTAGCCGATATGCTACTTTGTGAGGCACGGCAAAGCTGGATGTGGGGGGGAGCCTGAAGACAGGGCTCCAGTGGAAGTTTCTGTCAGCCCCAACCCAACAGCCACATTACCGTCCTCTGCAGGCAACTGGGAAGCATTTTCTGGAAAAGCTAAATGGCCCCAGAGAAAAGATCCGCAGACAGTGATGTGTGTGGCTCTGTGCTGCTCTAGAGACCTGTTCAACATTTCCCAATCACACACTCAGAACTTGTAATGCTCTAGGCTTCAACATGACCACGTGACAAGGGATAGCTAGACAGTTGGGGAAAAGGTCTCACATGACAAAGACTTGGTTCCAAAAAGTAACTAAGAGGGAAACAATGCATGAGTGAAAAATATATCAAAAAATGTTCCCCCAGAGATGACAGTACAGGCATGTAACAAAAACAAAATGCTATGAATAAAGAACTGTGAGGGACAAGACAGCTACAGCCACCTTGTGCTTCACAGAAAAAATATAGAAAGAGTAAAGACGGCATCCTAAAAAATGCAAACTTCCTACTCTAACATCACTAGATGTTAACTGCAGCACAATTAATGGAAAATAGTAGTCCTTATCAAGGAAAGAATAAAAAATAATTTCCCATTTTCCCAGAGATACAGCCAGAACAAAACCAGGGCACCATGAAGGACGGTAACATGGTATCAGGAAGCTCCAGAACTATACCAGATGCCTCCCTACGATGGGGAACGCACTGCAGGCACCACTCTGGGGGCGACTGATCTGTAACTAAGGACTCTACATTCAGCCAAACTGTGACTCACGGGAGAGGCCAGAAGACATTTCAGGCTCTGGAGGCCTCTGAAGACTTTCACTGGCACTGGAGACTTTCCATCCTGCATACCATGGGGAATGGGGGTGGTTACCAGGAATCCAACTCAGGACCTCAAACCTGCCAGGCAGGCACTCACACCATTTGGGAGGGAAGATATTTTTAATTAAGGCAAGAAAACCAACATGGGAGAGAGGAAGAGGGAAGCCCAGAAAACGCTTGGAGTGTGTTGGGGTGTCTAGGTTAAACCTCTTTGCATCACGTACACAGGCAGCAGTCCAGATGGGAGCCAGACTGAGCTCCAAGACAGATTTGCTAAGAAGATGAAGCACCCAAGACAGCTGGATACAGTGAGAGAAGATTTAGACACCAAGCAGGAAACTCAAGGCTGTGTTAGCAGTATGAACACACAGTACTACTTTCCCTTTAAAACAAGCACTTCAAACTAATAAAAAGGTTGTTGCTAAATGACAGTGCTTGCCTACAATTGCAGCACTCAACAGGCTGAGGCAGGAGGGCCGCCATGAGTTTGAGGCCATTCTGGGCCTCATACTGTGTTGAAGGCCTGCCTCAACTGTACAGTGAGATCCTATCTCACAAAGAGACAAATGAGAACACAAGGCATAAAATGTTGAAGGGGAAAAAATGATATAATCAGGAAAAATACAAGGCTCAGCTATGAAAAACATTTACATGGTCATGATATAAAACAATACTGACCCAAATAAAATTATAGTACAACTAAACTGCAAGGTACAGGGAAGAGGGGAGGTTTGTAGGGATGAGGCTGGAAAACACATCAGACCCTTATGCCTCAAACTAAAAAGAGGTCACTCAACAGAGACCTAAACACATGTTTCAAGGCATGGAGATAAACACTAAAATAGTCAGTTAAAAGAACCAAAAGTAGAGGTGCAGCTCAGTGGCACAGTGCTTGCCCAGCATGTACAAGGTCCTGGATTCAATCCCCACCACCACAGAACAGTAACAAACCAGAAAGACCTCGCCTCTACGGAGCCAAAAATAGGAGGAGGGGGTGGGGGAATCTTTCATCAACATTTGTACAGCTATATAATACTTGATAAAAATAAGGACACAGATCAACAACTTGCGCAGCATGTGGATGGCAGCTCTGTATATACGATGACCACGTCTTCTGAGGCACTGTCACAGGGGACATGGGCATAAGCAGATACACTGGCAAAGCACAAGCAAGCAGGCAGGTGTTGGTGGACAGGAGGGAATACAGAAAACTGCTATCACCGGGCTTCTCCAGGTGCTGAGAGGAGGCTAGGACGTTTTCCTTTACTTTAATCTTGTAAATTATATAAAATAACAAGTGTAAGATTATAGTACAAAACTACTTTTTAAGTAATTAAAATTTATGTACAATGTGAAGCCACTTTAATAAATGTAAGGACAGATATGTATCTCTGTGCATGGTGCTAGACAGGAAAAGACGGGTCCAGCTCGCACAAGTGGTCAACATGCTAAACAGTAAACTTAGGGCTCTTTACCTGCGGGGTGGCTGGCCAGGGACGGGAGGGCTAGGCTGTTGGCAGGGAACTGTTACCCTTTGTTTGATATCCTGTGCATTGTGTGCAAGTTTTCCTTAATGACTATGTGCTGCTTTTGCAAACAGATGCAAATATGAATGGTGTAAAGCAAGAGGATACAGGAGAGTGCCTGCAAGTGTGAGACCCTTTCTCAGCTGCTGCCCACAGGAGGGAACCTTTAGGGCACACATGTGCTGCAGCTCTTATGAGGCCTCCAGGAACAGGAAAGATTCTTTCCTACTTATCCCTGAACTCAAAGGGAAGAAACAAGACAAATGGTTTCTCCTTCCAAATTAAACAGGCCTAAGAATATGAGCAATCATTCTAAAGCATGAATTTTAAAAAATGTATTCAAGGGATATTAAAAATGCTTTATATTACTTAAAAGTCTAAGAAGACTTTAGAAAGAGAAATAGAATGGTTCACCTACTTTTAATTTAGGAGCCTAATGCTACTTTTGAAACAAAGTTTCCTCCATACTTTACATCACTTTAACTGACCGCTGGGTGGCAGCAAAGGCTATACTTTAAGCCACCACACTGGTGGGTCAGCCAGGTCCCAGAGGGGTTATGGCAAACCTTTCACAGCTGTCAGTGACAACAAACACCCTGCGGTGGCACGTGTACCATACATTCCCCACTGCTGCACTCTGAGTGGCGATGGCTGTGAAGCTGGCCTTACACCAGCGTGTGAGGCTCTGAGTGGCCGGGCTTCTGGCCTCTGTTCTGCTCGAGGTGACATCTATGCTGTTATGGACCCTGAGCTCTTGGCAGCTGACAGACATAAATGAATCAATTTTACAGTATTTACCTCTCCCTACCTCAAAAGGCTTTATTGTCCTTGTCTCTTCCCCACACACATTTTAGTTTAATATGAAGTCATCTTGCCAACAACATTAGCGTAGTACAACTCAGGAAAGGCTATGAATATAGGTCTCCAGTTAGGTTATATTACGTCTGCATCTAGTCTTGCTCAACATCTTTTTTTTCTTTTTCTCAACATCTTTTAAAAAATGCATCATGATGTTCTGCTTATCCAGCAATAGAAGCCAAAAGATAATAGAAACCTACTGAACCAGCTTAGAGAATTGCACCATATCTCCCTGGCTTTTAAATGTGACTTCACCACAGTTCAGGCAACACTAGCATACTATTTGGCCTCAACTTTCCCGCACTCCAAATCTAAATTCCTTTTTTTTTTTTGTTTTTTTGGTGGAACCAGGGATTGAACTCAGGCCCTTGCGCTTGGCAGGAAAGCGCTTATCCCACTGAGCCATCTCCCCGGCCCCATATTTAAATAAATTCCTTGTTCATTAAAAAAGTGATTCCAAATATGGCAAAAATATTAACAAGAAGGGAATCTAGGTAAATGAAATTTACCAGATTACCAAACCAAGTTTACCAAAGCATTTGAAAATTGTTTGTCCTGTTCTTGCAATTTCTCTCTAAGTTTACATTACTTCAATATGAAACACTTAAAAAAATAAAAAAGGCTTTTTTGCAGTACCACCCGAGATGTAGGGGGGATATGGTGGCTCCCTCACTCCTGTCCTGAGTACCTCTCATGTGGCCTGCACAAATCATAGATGTTTTCTGATCTAAACAGTACTTTGAAATACATGATTCAGCTTATTCTGATTGTTAACTATGCCAATTTTTTAATTCATTTCTGTTGGACCTAGGAGAATGATAACCAAATGAGTACTTTAAAAATAAAATGATGATGTCACTACTTACTCTATGAATTATACCAGCTGAATGTAGATGTTTAATACCACAAAGCATCTGGTAAAGAAGGTAGGACATTCTTTCATGGTCCAATTCCATATGAATAACCTGACATAAGTTAGCATCCATTAATTCCATAACCAAATACCTGAGAATAGGAAAAAAAATCAGCCATGTTCAGAAAAATTATTCAAAACTCTATTCTGGACATTAAGCCAGAATCGTTATGAAACAGTAAGAACGTAATCTGACCACTGCAGTGGTACTGTGAAAATACACTTATTTTTGTATTACTAAGCATTTGGAAAAGAATCAACTATACAATAGAACTTCGTAAAATGTTTCCAAAGAATATAAAAACTAACTTAACCAATGTCTTCCAAACTAAAAACAAAACAGCTTTTATACCATGGCACACAGAAACTCATACACGCTCTCCTACTTATGAGTTTTTGCCATCTGGTTAGTCTTACCAGCACGTGACACATGCTGCTGGAGGCTCAGTCTTCAGACAACGCCCGCCTCTAGGGGGTGCACATCTGTTGGGGTGCGGACCTGAGCAGGAGCAGTGTTAGGTGGGAACTCGGGACCTTCTGCTTAATTTTGCTGTAACCTAAACTGCTCCAAGAGTCTATTTTTAAAAACAACAAAACCAGCCAACTTTAAATCCTGCTTCCCCGATCAGCTCTGGCTCCTTCGCATGTGTAACTCCCACAGAGATATTTATGTCAGCATCTCCATTCCTCCCGTTTTCCCTTCACGCCACGCTCACCGGGCTTATGGCCCAGCACTACTGAAAGTGTCGAGGCCACTGCTAACATCCATGTTGCCAAGACCAGTGGCCAGTCTTTCAGTTCAGCTCCTCAGCCTGCCCTTTCTCTCCACTGGAGCATCCAGCAGGCAGTCCTCAGCCCTCCTCTCTCACCTACCACACTCACTGTCTCAGAGAGCTCCAGTATCACAGCACCCAGTAGCACCGATACTCTCCCGAGGGCCTAGCTTCAGCTCAGCCTGCTCCTGAACTCCACAGTCACTCCTCTCTCTGCCCCTAGCCCTTCCACCGGGATGTCCAACAGACACGTACAGATCCATGTCTAGAAATGAACTCCAGATTCTACCTGTTTTCTAGTCCAAATCTGCTCTTTTTACCACTATTCTCCTCCAAGTGCTCAGTACCAAACAACCAACCATGGTTCCCACTTCTGTCTCTCACACTATCAGCAAACAGCTCAGCTCCACATTCAAAACAGTTCTGGTGTCCAGTCTCTTTCTTTCATCCTATTACCCGCCAAAATCTCTCAGGTGAAAACTGCAATGGCCCAGACACCAGGTAAGCCTGTAAAACAAAAGTTGTAAGCTCACTGCTCTGCTGGAAATCTTACCCAGACCTGTCTAAAAGCAAAGGGGCCTCTTTCTCATGGCCTAGAAGCCTCTGCAGTGTCCGGCATGCCACTTCCCTGATCTTACCTTCTCCTCCTCCTCTCCCAACAATGCTGGCCTCTTGATGGTCTCCACATTTACTAGGCAAGATCTTTCCCTCTGTCCTTCACTCCACCTCACTCCAAATTATCTGCAAGACGAAATCCCTTACCGCCTTCAAAGCTTTCTTCAGGTGTAACAACAGACTTCCCCAACTACCCTGTGATGGTTAATGTAGGTATCATTTTGGGTGGATTGAAAACCTGGCAGAGCACTGTTTGGGGACTGTCTGGCGGGACATCTGGGAGGAGTGGCTGTGATATGGAGTGCACTATGGAGGGAGACCTGCCTGCAGTGTGGCAGCACCGCCCACCTGCTCAGGCCCATCGAGCCCACATACAGAAGGCGCTGAGACAGACTTGCTCTGTTGCCCCACGCAGAGCTCCACAGACTTCTTGGCCTTTGGGTTCTGGAGCTTATATCCAGCAGCAGCCTGGGCCCTCAGGCCTGTGGCTCAGACTGAAAGATGTACCACTGGCTGCCTTGGTTCTGAGGCTTTTGGATATGGACTGAGCCATGCTAATAGGACCCCAAGGTCTTTAGCTTGCAAACAGCCCATCCAGACTTCTCTGACACTCATGTCATGTGAGTCAATTTTTCAAAGTCCCCTTTCACATATCTATTTGCATCTCCAGAAAACCCTGACCCATACACTATTCAAATTGCCGCTGAATACCAACCCCCAGCACTTCCAGTTCCCTGAACCAAGCTGACTTTTCTGAATACATGCTAACAGACTACCATTTTCCTTTCATATTAAGTTTACTGGCCATCTTCCCTGGAAGCCTCTAAGAGGGAGTTTATCACCCCTTAATAAAAAGGATTTTTCTTGTGATGGTCAATATATGCCTAGTCCAAACAGAACATGCAGCACATGTGAGCAATTAAATATTTGTGCAATAATTGAAGACCGCAGTGTAGGATAAACCTGGGCATTATATCTTACTATGATATAATAATACTTTTTAAAATTTATTTAGTACAGGGTATACAGGGTCTTACTACACAGATTGGACTCGTAGTGATCTTTCCTGTTTTCAGCCTCCCCAGTGCTGGGATTACAGGTGCACGCCACCATACCCAGTCTCATTTGCCATCTTAGTGTACCCCAGGGGTGTGGCCAGCACAGCAGGCCAGGGATCGAACCCATGGCTCCTGTGTCTGCCTAAGCAGGCGTTTTAATCCACTGAACTATCTGGCCAGCCCCCAATATAATAATATTTCATTTTACTCTTATTCAGTACTTCTACTTAAAAGTCTAGAAATAAACTCAGTGTGGTGCTATATGCTTATAAACCTAGCACTCTGGGAGGCTGAGGCAGGAAGATCACAAGTTCAAGCCCAGACTGGGCAACTTAGCAGGACCCTGTCTCAAAAATAAAAGGGGGGAGGGGGAGGCTAGGATGTAGCTCAGTGAGAAGGTCCTGGGTTCAATCTCTAGTACTATATAAAAGTCTAAAAAACACAGTATTTAATGATCTAATAATGATTAGATCATCATTTAAATAATGCCGGAGAACAGCATTTTACAGCTCAGTAAACCAGGCACAGTACTGGTGGTCCCCATCTGTGCCGAGTTCACAAGCACCCTCAGCCATCAGGGAGAGAGCAGCCCTCAAAGCAGAGGAGCAGAGTGCTGCTGCCTGTTCTGAGCTGTGTCACCACAGACAAAAGTATCTAAGACACCACGGAAAAGGCATGGCTACCTACATTTCCTAAGTATGAAAAGTAATGACTTTTTCCCCTAAATTTTGTCACTGATGTATAATACACTGCTGGACAAAAATGATACTTACACATCTTGAAATTCTTCTAGAGTTTTTTGTGGTGTAAACACATTTAATAAACTAATGATCTGAAAAGAGAAAATTATACCTCAGTATGTCAGATGACTCTACTTGCTTTTAACAGTGACGTCAACATTAAAAAGACTTAAAACTAGAAAAAGAATCACAGCAGAGTTCAATATTATCATCCTGGCTTTTATCAAAGCCTATTACATGGCATTTGAAAAAACTAAACATCAATTAAAAATAAGATGCATTTTAAATCAAGTGCTTTTATATATCCTTATTAAATTAGTATGGAATTTAAATGCAATGTCTTTTTAGCTCTGGATGTAAAACAAATATTATGAGCCTAAAAACACTAAAGTAATATGTTAACCTTGAGAATTTGAATATAAATTTCTAAAATTCTTTAGAAATATGAAGGCTAAATATATTTTTTGGTATTACAAAGATAAACTACCTCAGAGCATTTCAGTATTTATTTAAAGAGAATTCAGAAAACTGAGCAGGCTGGAGCCTCCCGCCTGCCCTTTATGACTGTTAAAAAGGTGGCTTGGGCCAGGGAACATAGCTCAGCAGCAAAAGCACCTGCCTGGTAAGCGCAAGGTCCCAAGTTCAATCCTTGGTACCACACACACACACACACAAAAAAAAAAAAAAAAAAAAAAAGGAAGGAGGAGGCTCACTGTTGTGAGTATCACACATACCCTCAGTCATACCAGAGGACTGGGGAGAAAACTGCTCACTGCACACGACTGGGGACACTGGCTATCAGGGAGAAATTAGTAGTATATTCATATTGCCATCTTATGCCAGGATATACTAAAAATGAAGCAAAGAGTTAAATCTAAAATATAAAACCACAAACCACTGGAATAGATAAATGTTTACAAAATCCATGGCATAGAAAAATCTTCTGTTATCTTGACAGGAAACAGGGCATTTGGTTATAGTAAAACAAAACCAAAAATATACATAAATTATCAGTATGTCAAAAGCAACATAAATAATGTGAAACAAAAAAGGTTGATAGTTCTACTGTATAAAAACTCCCAATAAATATATAAAAAGAGACCAACAGTCCAAGAAGAAGATAGACAAAGATCATAAAAACCAAATTCTCAACAATATAAAAATAAATCATTAATGAACATATGGAATTCAACTTGACACACAGTGAGATATTATGTGACAATTATCAGATCAGCAAAAAGAAAAGAGATCAACAAAGGCCAGGGAGATAGCTCAGTAGAATAAGCACTTGCCTGGCAAGCACAAGGTCCTGAGTTCAATCCCCGGTACCACAAAAAAAAACCACACACACACACACGCACACACACACAAAGATCAACAAAATGTAGTGTTGGAAGATCCTGAAGATATTCTCAGGCATTTTTCATGAAAGCACAAAACTGATGGTCTTCCTGAGGTCCACCTGTCAGGATACATTAAATCAAAAAATATTCCAATTCTTTGCAGAATAAGAGTTTACCTGGCAAAAAATCGGATAATAATCTATGCAACAAGTAAATTGTTAAATAAATTATTGTGTATCTGCAGTATTCAACCATTTAAAAATGGATTATACTTATTAAAGTATTACCAAGGAAAAAGCCAGATGATGAATTTTATTTATCTACACATGCACGATATGCATAAACATGCTCAGCAAAACGTTAATGCTGGCGATGGGTCAGTAGTGGGACTCAGGGACTTTTGCTTTCTTAGATACACAGTTTAAAGTTTTAAAAATAACATTTTTAGGGCCGGGGATATGGCTCAGTGGAATAAGTGCTTCCCTGGCAAGTGCAAGGGTCTGAGTTCAATCCCCGGTTCCGCAAAAAAAACAAACAAACAAAAAAAAAAAAAAAAAAAAAAAAAACTTAAAAAATTTTAAGTAAAATAAAGCATGCATTGGAGAAATTAAACCAACTCAAAATAAATCCATCAATTTCATATTTAATATCCCTATTTCAAAAAGATCCAGCACAAATATGTTTAAAAAGTGTACGTATATAGTTTAATATAATTTTAAACCTTCTTCCCTCTTCCAAAGGAGGAAGCAGTGCTTTATGAGTTGATCTCCAAAACTTCTTCCAGGTCTCACATTTTACGGTTTTACAAGGCAAGGATATCTAAATTATGCTTAGAGACCACACTAGTAGGATATATGGTATGCTCAAGAAAAACTTCATTTTCTAGAGACATACTACTAATTCTATTAAAAACTTAGTTGCATATTACTATGGAAATACCAAGTATTGCCATTTGAAAAAAGTCCTCTAATAACATGTATTCAATTAAAACTGAGATTTCTGCATACAAGGGAAAACTTATGTATACACCATTTTTAAAAAAAAAAATGTATTTGGTACAGGGTGTCGTCATGCAGCTCTGACTGGTAGTGACCCTCTTGGTTTCAGCCTTCCCAGCGCTGGGGTCGCAGGCGGGCGCCACCACGCCAGGACTGAGAGCCAGCTCAGCACGCTCAGGGGCGGGGCCAGCACCACATGTAATGCCCAGACTGAACCCCGGTCCCTGCACTTGCCTAAGCAGGTACTTAGTCCACTGAGCTATCTCACTGGCCTGTACACAACATTCTCCCCCCAAAAAATCTAGCTGTTTTTTAATGTGTTAGGTTAATTTTTGTTCTCATTTTATGAGAACAGAAATAATAAAACCAAATGGCCACAGGACTAAATGAGCATTCTTCTGGAATATGAAGCATCTAACTTTAATTTCTCCAGTGTTAATTAAAAAATTTTATCAATAAACTAGGTATGGTGACACATGCCTATCATCCCAAATATCTGAGAGGCTGAGGCAAAAGGACCACAGCTTGAGCCTAGGCTGAGCAACTTGGCTAGAACCTATCTCAAATTATTAAAAAATATATATATAAAAGGGGTGGAGATGTAGCTCAAAGTGATTGTTTTCAGTTCAATCCCCAGTGCCACTAAATAAACAAAGCCATTGTTACTGTTAGTTTATCCCAGGTCTGAACTCAATAAATACAGAAGGCCTTGAAGATCATCACCTCATTAACATAAAATCATATGGCAAAAATTTAGACACAACTTACATTTTTATGATTGACACATTTTAAGAGGACAAGTTCGCGATAAGCTCTCTTTGCATGAGTCTGATTTTGAAAAGGACGGCTTAGTTTCTTGACTGCAACATTAATCCCAAGAACTGTATCAAAAGCAGCACTGTAATTAAGAAATATAATAAGCAATCCATTAGAACAGTTTTGGAAAAACAGCAATGGAGACTATACAAAAATGGACAAGGACAACCTGGGTGCCTGCTGTGGCCAAGGCACAGTGTGCTTGTGCGCAAAGAAGCCCCGAGAGCACTGAGGTCAGCGGCTGCGCCACTGTGGAGGAGCAGCCGCCACGCACGCCATGAAGGCGGGCCGAGCACCCTGGCAGCTGCGCTTGGCTGTGTTAGCTGAGAAGATTATTTTCAGAACCAAATAATTTAGCACAGCACGTAAGACATCAAGAATGAAATCCTTAGTTTAAAAAAGAAACTGAAAAGATTCATTGTCATCACTAAAACATGAATACATTTTGGGGTTATAGCCGAAGAAATGGTTCAATTCATGAAAATAATTCAATAAATCTAAGTTTGATTGAATGTGTTTTTCCAAGATGAAAAAAATCAACTTGAGGTCAATGCCCAAAACATAAGACCCCTAAAGCAAGCCTCTTACTACAGCAAAAGTATCATCTCTCACTATTAAAATAAACCTAGAGCCTGTGTTTCCAATATCTGATAAAATTTTCCCTCATAAAATTTGGTGTTTCTTTTCCTCCACAAAATAAGACATGAAAAATTGAGTATCCTGACCATATATTTTCAGATTTCAAACTACCATTAATGCTACTATTAGTTGATCTTTTAACACTACTCACCAAAAATTAAAAGCTCTTAAGACCACCTTAGAAGTAGGCATCATTTTAAATAGTGCATCCATTTACTTATTCTATTAAACTGGTAACACTGATTATACATCTTTTTTGAGTTTTTGTTTGTTTTGAGACAAGGTCTCACTACACAGTTCAGGCTGGCCCTGAACTCACTATGTAGCCCCGGCTGGCCTGGAACTCACAGTGATCCTCCTGCGTCACCCTCCTGAATGCTGAGATAACAGGCCTGAGCCCGCATGCCTGGCAATGCTTTCTTATTAATAATGCTTTTTAGCCAAAAAAATTCTAACTTAATTCAATAATTTTTACATTGAAGGCTATCCACTGTAGCTTCTAGTGAAGACCAATTAGAAACAGCACTTTTCATGGTTGCCTTTACTTTGGTTCAGACTACATACATGGGTGTACTTGTATATGTGATTGCACATGCTCACACACAAATGTATCATTGAATAATAAAATATTGAAGATAAATGTATTTGTGAAACAAATCATTAATATACATGTGCATATATTTGTGCCTGTGTATCTCTAAGGTTCAACAGTTTGAAAATGGACAGATCTTAATTTTTTGTCCAAAACTTCAGTTAGAAAGGTGAGATGAAAAAGTCCAAGAGCTCTACTGTACAACATGGTAATTGCATGGTAATTGTATTCTTTTTTTTTTCTTTCTGGAACTGGGGATTGAACTCAGGCCCTTGTGCCTGCCAGGGAAGCGCTTATTCTACTGAGCCATCTCCCCGGCCCCTACTGAGCCATCTCCCCAGCCCCTGTATTCTTACATATTGTTGAGAATCAATTTTAAGTACTCTCACCACAAAAACAGGAGATAATGAATACGTAGGTTAACTTATTCCACAAAAATATGTGCATAAACAATATACAGCACATGATAAACATACTTTTTCATTGGTTAGTATGTTTTGTCCAAAATAAGCCAGCTGAAATTCTAAGTAAGTTAACACATTCTTCTCCATTCCTGGTTCCAACCCAGGAGCAATGACCTTCAATTATTCATGGTTTTGATTCTTGTGATCATTTGACTCAATGAAGTATATATTTTAGCATTACTTTTTCATTTGTCAATTTTGGAAAGAACTGTTTACCCCTCCCAGTGAAAACTGAGGATTAGCCACTTACTTAAAATGCTCACCACCCAGGTTTATTCTCATGTGATTTTTAGGTTTTTCTTTGGTCATCTATGTAACTTCCAATAACAAGCCTTATCCTTGTTCTGTCGCCTTTGAAGGAATCTTTTGGTTGCCCAGCTGAGGAGTGAGATTATCAAACCTCATTCCCTTTTCCCTCCACCTCTACATTTCCTTCCCTTTTCTCCAAACTCCTTTCTTAAATGGTTAGGCTTACAAACCCATGTATTTTATGTTTATAGAAAGCCTTCCCTGCTCCTGTTTAGGATGGGTCTAAAAATTGGAAGCCAGTACAATGAGTTATATATGTATCTGCACATGTAACCCCTTCTAGTTCCATAGCTGGGATCACATTTCATTTTCTAAGACCTTTGCTCCCACTCATATAAAACTTGAGAATGTTTCCAGAATGGTTTCTCTTTTCTTATATTCCATCAACTACTCAAACATTATGTCCTTTTAAATTTTCTATTTAGCACATGACTTTTTCTAGCTTTCTAACATTTCATAAATTTCTTTAAAAAAGTTATTTTATTAAGAAAAATATATCCTTTTAAGCCTATCACCAATACTTATCTATGTTTTGGAATTCATCCCATTCCTTTCAAAGCCTTTTTTCTTGGATCTTCTTTCAAAAACCTGTTGCATAGCTACTACCCTGGGATTTCTTCGCATTGGCCTCCCCTGTTCTTGAGTTACATATTCCAGGGTGGGTGGGTGGGTTGTTTGTCTGTCTGTCTGTCTGTCTGTCTTTCTTTCTTTCTTTCTTTCTTTTTATGAGTAGAATATATTTATTGAGAGAAAGAAAGCTCCTGTCCGAGACAGGGACAGGAGGGGGACCCAAGAGGGTTGTGCCCCTGTCTATCTATCTATCTATCTATCTATCTATCTATCTATCTATCTATCTTTTTTTTTTTTTTTTTTAAGACAGGGTCTTGCCATGTAGTTCAGGCTGGACTGGAACTCACTATGTAGCCCAGGCTGGCTTTGTACTCCCTTAGATAAAGTAATACAGTGTTTACATATAATCTATACACATGTCATACATTTTAAATCACCTTTACATTTCTTATAATACCTAATAAAATGCAAATGCTGTGTAAATAGTTGTAGTAATATACTAATTAGGGACTGAAAAGGAAAAAAGGTCTGTACATATTCAGGACAGATGCAATTATTTTTTCCAAACATTTTTGATCTGTAGGGTCCCAGAACATGAACGGTGGGTCATGTACCTTCTTATACTCTACGTTTATCTTTTCAGGTTCTTGATGATTTATTTTTTTTATTTTGGCAGAACCAGGGAATTGAACTCAGGCCCTTGCTCTTGCCAGGCAAGTGCTTATTCTACTGAGCTATCTTCCTGGCCCCACTTGATGATTTTTTAAACAGAATCCAAATACATCAATGTTTTATTTTTTAAAGTACCTTTGGAACTAGGCATGGTGGCACACACTGAGACCTCAGCACTGGAGATGCTGGGACAGGAATATCACTGTGAGGTGGAGACCAGCCCGAGGGCTATAAAAGTGAGCACAGAGCCAGCCCAGAGTGCATAAAGAGACCTTATCTCAAAAAAACAAACAAATCCCAAAACGTTCCAGCTTTTTAAAAGAAATCCTCTACTCCAAATATCATGAAAAACATCCTTTCAGAAGGTCAATTAGCCTTCTAACACTACTGTAGCAAGTTATCACAAATTACTGGTTGTAAACAACATGAATTTATTATTCTACAGTTCTAGTGGTCAGGAGTCCAAAGTGTGTCTCATGGGACTAAAACCGAAGTGTCCAAGCTGGATCCTCTCAGGAGGCTCTAGAGGAGAGCCTTTCAGTTTCTAGCAACTTCATCCATTCCTCCTATGGCCCCTGGCCCTACATCACCTCAAGCTTGCTCATTACCACATTTCCTTCTCTGACTACTACCTTCCTGCCCTCCCCCCTTCAACAATGGACCCATCACTGATCCTGGCTAATCCACACCTCCAGATGGCTCCTCTGACGCAGAGCACCTTCTGCTGTACAAAGGGCCCAGGGTGAGGCCGTGGACACCACTGAGGGAGGAAAGGAACATGTGCACAGGGCCCAGGGCGAGGCCATGGACACCACTGGGGAGGGGAGGAACATGTGCACAGGGTCCAGGGCGAGGCCATGGACACCACTGGGGGAGGGGCCATCATTCAGCCTTAGTACATCCCAAGGGTCACTAATCCACTGACTGATGACTGTAATGTACATTAATGCTAAATGGACATTTCACATAATCAAACTGATAAACTGACAATATTTTAAGAAGCAATATGACAGAAAATCCAAATCCTGTTTTCAAGATAGCAGCTAACCTACTATTGAGTTTATTTTCACAAAAGTAAGTAGATTTTTATTTTTATAGAGTAATGTATTATCACCATATTTTCCCATTCCCACTTCATGTCTTAAACCTGGTAAAGGATGAATATAAAAAAGAAAGAGGCACAAAGGAGCCAAAATCACCCCTAAGGTTTTTACTGTTCCAAATTAGAACAAACATAAGACAAGAGGATACCAACATAGCAAGTATCAGTTACAGCTGCAGTTAAGACTGCTTAAAGATAACTGCTGTGCTATGGGGATAAATACAACTAGTCAGAATTTTCAAATAGGTACTTCATTAATATTTACTCATTATTGCTAACATTCGAGACATGTTAGGTCAGAATTCTAGTTATATCAAAAAGTATTAGTAGTTCAGAGACATCAATATGCTTTACCATGGTACAATAAGGCCCCAAAAAACAACAGATGGGTTTTGGTCCTAGGCCTACCCCTAATACTCTATGAGATGGAAAAATCAATGAGCTTTCCTAGTACTTAACTGTACATTTATACAGTCAGGGTTATAGCATGGCTTGCAGTAACTAGACAATATACACTATTTACATTACTATTAACTTTCAAAGACGAATGACAAGTCAATTGGGATAAACGAAACCCATATTTTAAATGCCTGCCTATCTATAGCCATAAAGTGAACTCTCTCAAACCTTCCTCTCTACCTCTCCCTCAAATTATCTGGGTCAAATTACTATCCACTTCCAATAAGAGATGGATTATAAATCAAAATGTTCTATTGTTCATAACTTTCAAATAACATTAAAGTTTCCCAATTTGAACCATCCACTGACTTCAAAACTTGTTGTAGGGCCTGGGGAGATGGCTCAGTAGAATAAGCTCTTGCCTGGCAAGTGCAAGGGCCTGAGTTCAATCCCCGGTTCCACAACAAAAAAAAAAAAAAAAAAACACAAAAAAAAAACCACAAAAAACTTCTTGTAGCATAAAATAATTAAGTATAGTTTGAATATTCCTAATCTAAGAATTCAAAATCTACAGTGCTCCTATATCTAAAACTTTTACAGTACTGAGATCATGCTCAAACAGTTTCAGATTTTGGAGCATTTCAGATTTCACATTTTTGGAATGCTCTACTGGTAACAAAGTCTATGCAAATATTCTACAATTTGAAGAAAAAAAAAATCAGAAAGAAGCAGATATGCCTAAGTATTTCGGATAAGGGATGCTCAACCTGTAGGAATATATCATCATTTGCAATTTAAGATCACCATCAGTTTAGATATGAGCTGGGCATTCCTTCCAAACAGTCTCTTCTCCCTGGCTAGTCTCCTTCAGATGCTCTGGACTCAATCCACTTAGCTCCCAGGGCTGTCAACCACCTAGACCCAAGAGAGCAAATCTCTACAACACAGGGTCAGTTCAAACATTCACAAGCTCAACCTCACCTACATGAAAACATAAACTCTTCTACTAAAACATTCAAAGGAGTTCTTCCTCTTCAGTCCCCTCTGCCTATAGCTATAAACACTGGATGCTTAGCTTCATCAGATTTTTTGAGAGGCAAAGATAATCTTGGTTTTATTGACCAAAAGTAGAAAGGGAAAATGTTTTCCCCAGAAAACTAAGGGATAAAAGTTTGGGAAGTGCTGATAACTGCAGTCTAGAAAATATGTAAAATTACCTTTAGCTGGCCAGAGATGTTGCAGCAGCTGACTGTCTTACCATGCAAGAGACTAAGGTTCAGGGTCAGACTAACCGTTCTGACGTCCTGGGCTGGACACATAGTTGAAGAGAGACACCAAGGAAGGCGGCCAGCCCAACCCCTCACACAGCATCCCTTCCTGGTTAATCCATGGTGTGACAATGATACTGACTGGCCTCGTCCTGCCAATGAATGGCAAGGCACTGCAATGATGGCGCCTAGAAATGAACAGGAGTGATTGGGAATAAAAAGGGGAGGGGGAAAGGTGGCCATGATGAAGAAATGAATAAAACTCCAAACTTCTGTTACCTCACTGTTATACCTACTATGCTGATATAATGATAGAAGCAATGGGGGAAAAAAACAAAAAAGGAAACTAAAAGAAAAATTACCAACCTATTTAAATTTATGCAGTTTTCTGAGAATTTGGGTTTGTATCCTACAACTTGATTACATGTAACTACAGTAAGAAGGTTGACTCAAGTTAGCTCATAAGCCTATAAGTATTTTTATCATTAGTGTTTCTAAATTCTATGATTTAGTTTTACTTTTTATTGCAGCAAAAACTCAACCCACAGTATTAAAACGGATCATACTTACCAAACAATTCCTTGGGCTCCTGAGCCAATTGGTTTCAACTGCTGGTAGCGTTTTAGGACAGTGAAAGTTGAGTCTGCCACTTGCACACTGTAAAACTGACTATCACATTTACTGTCACTCATGATGTAGTGTCATACAATATCCCAAAGAGCTGGTACCACTGATAAGATTCCTTAAAAGAGAAACAGAATGAACATGCATGCTTACAGAAATATCCATGCACAGCTCATAAATTTATTGCCCTATAAGATAATGTGGCTCTTATAAACTCGGTTTGACCAAGTGCTGAACATAAGCAAGACAAGAAAATGCAAAGACATTTCACTGGCACAAGACCATTATGAAAGGAAGGGATTTTCAGACCCAGCAATATCACATTAAGGGGCTAGGTTATAAAATTTTTTTTTTCCAGAAAAAAGAATTTACACATTATTACTAAGTGTGCCACTAAATATTTCTCAGTGGTTTGCTTCCTATGGGACCAGCTTAAGTCTAGCAATCTCAACCAGAGATGGGGACATCATTTCAGAATGATTGCTTCTACAATTCCTAAAGAAAAGCAAATAGACTAGTGTCCTGCTAAAAGCAGATTCAGGTTAAAGTGGTAGCCCAAAAAGCAACATTCACATACCAGAGAGACAGGCTGTGAGGACTGGTGACCTTGCTGTGTGTTCTGCATGCCACAGACTGGCCTGTTTCAGGAGGGCAGAGGTGGAGATGGACTACATGTCCCTTGAGCCCCACAAACTGCTGTGTCCCCACAGTACAAAATAACAATACTACAGAGTTTTATTTTGGTCTTTTTTAAAAAATGTATTTGGTAGAGTCTCACTACACAGCTTGGACTCATAGTGATCCTCTTGTTTCAGCCTCCCCAGTGCTGGGATTATAGGCATGCACCACCACCCCCAGTTTCAGTGGCCTGCACAGTGCACTAGGGGTAGTACCAGGGATCGAACCAGGGTCCTAAGTACCTGCCTGGCAGGTACTTAAGACCGCTGAGCTATCTCCCCTGCCCTTGATCTTTTCTTTTTTTAATTAAAAAGCCAACAATAAAATTATATAGGCAAACATTTAATACTGTTTAAAAACAGAATTAAAACACTTTTTCTATAGCTCCCTTAAGATCCTGCTGTTTTGTTCTACAATCTAATACTTAACATCTGCTCAGTGAACTTTTTGTAGTGGTGATTTACAGTTCAACAAAATGGTGTCTGGATTTCCCTTAAACATGAAAGTAAATTAACAGCTACACAAAGACTTGAAGTCAATAGTTTCTCCAAATAACCACTGCTTCGTATTTTTCTCACCATTTTTGAGTCTGGCCAGCGAGGCCTGCTGAAAGCCACTAAGTGGCAGACACACACCTGCTCACCTTGACCCTACTGCAGAGCCCTCTGCGCCAGTTTACAATGGAGCAGCCCAGAGCTCTGTGAGCTAGAACACATGCCCAGGCTGCCCTGTTGTGAGGTGATGGGCACTCCGATGTACCTGGCCCAATGGGTCACTGTCCTCAAAATTCTTGGTTACCACAACATCGAACACTCCAAAGACAAATACACGGGGACTCTACAAAAATTCAATCAACCTTCACTGATCTGACCCACACTATACCATTGAATGGTTTGCTATAGCACTGTTCCATTTTGACCGACATTTGAATGAATATCCTTTTCTAAAGATTAGCTTCTTCATAGTTTATAAGACACTAAAACAACAACATTCAAGAGATGCCTTTGTATATGAAAGTGATGTATTCTAAAGGCACAGCTAGGAACCAGTCTTACAGTGGCATATAATTCACTATTTTGGGGGAGAAGCATAACGAGTCCATTAGCCATGTTATGTATACAAGCATAAGAAAAACATAAAGACATAAGCAGAAGAGACCAAACACTTTGACAGAGGTGCAGAAGACCCAGCAGGCAGGCTTCCTGGAGGAGGAAGCATCTCCTAATACTGTGTTGCCAGCGACAGACAGTAGAGGCACAGCTTAAGCGGACTGTATCCACACAAAGTGAACTGCTCACCTCGGCTAGCAAGGTACAAGTAAATCTGAGATGGGGAGTTCCGTTTTGAACTGTGTGAGTGTGAAAAGCTAAAAGAGCAGCCGTAGGACTTTGGCACAGGCTGCTGATCCACCCCCAGATCCACCCGCTCCCGACTTTAGTCACAGCACCATCCTGCCCCTACTGGACAAACGGCTAACAGACATCTGGCAGCCTTCCCAGTGGCCAGCCAGGGCCAGATGATTAATTTCTGGCCAACGAGGTATGAGTAGAAGGAAGCGTACTAATTCCAGATCATGCGTTTTCTTTTTTATCAAAGCTGCTTGCTGCTTAACAGCCTAGGTTGTATGGTAATAACAATAAGCTTCTCTTCTGGAGAGTTAGCGACCTAAGTTTGCAGACCAAAATTAGATGAAAAGGAGGGCTGCAAGGAAAGCCAACATTTTGGCCCTAGCCTTCCAAGGTCAATTAAGACTCAGGACATATGAGAACTTGTACTGTAACATCATGTAACTCCGAAGTGTCCCAAATTTTCTGATCAAGGAGATTATGGGGCCAAAGAGGAAAGTGATCGATGAGGTAGAGTGTGCCTAAGGAGAGTCACATGGAGAGAAAACATTCTCTCAAGCTTTCACAGAGAGCACACTGGCCAAGCAATGGCCGTGACTCATCCATATGGCTGACACTGACAAAGGATCTACAATCTGAGGTACAGGATCTCAGGATAAATCCTGACGGGATTTCACTGACCTTATCAGACCCAAAAGCTACAACTCTTGTTGCATAAATCCTGCTTTACCTTGGTCTTAACCATCCAGCAGAAAGGAATAAAAACAAAGTATAAGAAGTAAAGCCATGCTGTTATGTTGAGCTGTAGGGGACTCAGGTCAACAATTTTTTTTTTTAATTTATTTATTTATTTGTGTGTGTGTGTGGCCAGTTCAGCCCACCAGGGGGCGGGGCTGGCTGGCATGTGGTGCTGGGGCATTGAACCGCGGTCCCTGTGCTTTGCTAAGCTTGTTCTAAGTAGGTGCTTTAGACCACTGAGCCATCTCACCAGCCCCAGGTCAACAATTTCTGACATTGCCAGTGAAGTGGACCCAATACTATTATGGACTGCTGAACTCTTTTAGAATATTTTGCTGAGTTTACACACCTATAATATTTAAATGATGGAACTTAACAAAAAAACGGGATACAGATGAGTGTCCATTTTGTATCTGTGTATTCAAAGTGGTTAAGATAGATATATAGTTACATTCTCTTAATGAAGAGGGATTTGTTCTAATGGTGTTTGTAAATAGGATCACAAGTCCGCATCTTGTACAGCAATTAACCACTAGGAAGAATGTATGTAATGTGTTAATTATTGAAACTGTCCTAGGGGCTGGTGAGATGGCTCAGTGGTCTAAAGCACCTACTTAAAACAAACTTAGCAAAGCCCAGGGACCGCGGTTCAATCCCCCAGCACCACAAGCCAGCCAGCCCACCCCCTGGTGGGCTGAGCTGGCCACACACACACACACAAATAAATAAATAAAATTAAAAAAAATTATAAAAAAAATTAAAAAAAAAAAAAGAAAGAAACTGTCCTACCAATTTGGTTTGAAACTGTCTCATTGCTATTTGTTTCTTAATAAAATTATGGGGGAAAAAAAAAGCTGCTTGCTCTCTAAGGTATCCTCCCTTGCTGCTTGGTATGTCTCATGCTAGAGATGGTACAGCTTGCTGCCTGCCCACTAGCTGGACTCACACCCTGTGGCACAGAGATGCCCCATTCAAGACCCACCCACACCAGGACTGACAACAAGCTTTACTGAGCAACTCTGCAATTCTGATATAGCTGCTGCTAACTTAGGTTAGCTTCACTGAACATTGAGAGTATAACCAATCATATTATGGTTCTAGAATTATTAATACAATCTTAATGTTTAAAATAATTCTAAAATTAAAATAAAGTACCCTTATTAGGCTGGAAAAAAAAATCTAAGACTCTACCAAAGCTACCTTTGTGTCATTTGTGGTTTATCAGAGCAAAAGAAAAAACTTCAAGGCAACCAGAGAAAGGCTATTAATGAATTTGTGCTGATTTTATTTCAATAAAACAGAGCATCAACTGGGCTCAGAAAACCAGTTTTACAAATTGGGAAGCACAAGAACTTCCACTGCAGCCTCACCAGCCACACCTGAGACTTTTAGGTGTCACCTCTACTCCCATGCAGTAGGCACCAGCCCCTCTCCCTGGCTTACATGCATCTTGCTGGTCCATCAGAGCTTCATCTTCACCACTCCTGCATAGGTGCATGCTGGGCTGTGCGACCTCACAAGTCTGCCTTTTACAAAGCGGAGCCCCTTAGAAGTGTGTGTGTACGGGGGGACATGAAGGAACATCCCAGTGGTGGAGTGTGTACCTAGCATGTGCAAGGACCTGGCAGCAATACCCAGAAACTCTATTCCCCTGACCCCACCAGAAAAACAGGGAGGATAAAGTGTAGAGTAAGTGCAGAGAGATGGCCATGCAGGAAGGCTTCATGGAGGAGGCAAGATCCGAACTCCTCTGCTGACACTGTCAACCCAGGCTTGAGGACATGGACACTTTCAAGATGTACAAATTGGTAAATTTTTTTTAAAAAAATATAAGAAACAGCTAATGAAAGATTTAAATGCATGTGCATTCTAACCTCACAACTACAGTTCACTAAATGCATCTGCCAAATATATGATTCTTCAAGGTACGTGTACACGGGAGCCTGTCTGCAGCACTTGGAACAGGCAGAAAAAAATAAAAGGTACACTGTGCATCAAATCAATAAATGGCACAAAAATAAAGCCATTAAATACAATACAGGGCTGGTGGCTGGGTATATAGCTCAGTGGCACAAGTACCTGTCTGCTAAGTGCAATGTCCCAAGTTTGATCCGCACCCCCCCCCCAAAAAAAAACCCAGGAACTTTATACAGTGCAATGGAAAGATGCTTAATACACATTAAGGAAATCAGACATATTGAAAGATTACATATAGTATATTCCAAATCTATTTAAAAATACACAAATGCTCTCTGTGCTACAAAGTAGAAAAATGGGCATCTTGCTATCATAACTTTGTTATTTCCCAAAAAATCATATGCCTATTTCATATTAAAAAAAAAAAAAGGCTGATTAA